GTGCTGGGTAAGACTTGAAAAACAAATAACAGTTTGAGCTGCCAACGGCCCGTAAATCGCTGGGTTTGCTTGGGGGACCTAAACTAGGTTTACAGATTACAGTAAATACGCATTGAGTACCTGTTATCATTGAGTTGGGTGTATCGAGGCTGAGGGTCTGGGTCGCCATCATTAACATCATAGCTAGCATCTGGATCCTGAGAATATGTAAGAAACATTTAATGCAGTTATTTTGTTTTGGGTTATATATAATAGTTGTTTATTCACTCACATAGTTTTGAATCAGATCTGGGTGGTTTTTTTCAATTCCATCATCCAATATGGACACGACGACGCCTTGTCCAGTAAAACCCTGCTTCCAGGCTTCCTTCACGTTGAGGTCACGATGATCTTCGTTGTACTGAATGGAAAATAAGAGAAAGAACAGATCAGCATAGACGCCACTTCCCTCCTGCTAACTACTCTGCTGATGCTGAACATCAACCAGTGCTTAAGGATCATGTTTTGAGGATCATCTTTCACAAATCTTTCACTTTTGAAGCTTACATCAGCTCTCTGATTCAAGGCTGCAGTCTGCCGTTATCGCAATACCGCATGGCCTCCTGTTCTAGGCATGAAGGATGCTGAAACTTTAGAATATGCCTTCACAATTTCCGGTCTCGGTTATAGCAGTGCCCTGACACACTTCATACTGCCCTTCACATACTGCACTGTAACCTCAGGTATCGCGTTTATGGTTTGCTTGCTGTCCTCTTGATGTGTAGATAGTAGCGCTTTTACTGTACGGTTTATATTGAATTTATATTACACAATTTTGTTATTTTCACACCTGAGCTAATATATGAATTAAGCAGTTCTGCATTGATGCCAGATTTTTATTTTATTTTATTTTGAGGAAAAATAAAAATATGTAATTACTGAATTATTCAAAAATGTTAACTTAAAGAAATCATACACTACCATTCACAAACATTTTTTTTTCCAAAGAATCATCTTATATTAACAAAACTGCATTTATTTGATCAAAAGACCGTAAAACAGTTATATTGTGAAATATTATTATCATTTAAAATGAACAGTAAATTTTTAATATAATGTTTTAAAATTGTATTTATTCCTGTGATGGCAATTTTCAGCAGCCATTGCCATTAAATCATTCTAATATGCTGATTTGGTGCTCAAGATTTCTTTTCATCACAGTTGAAAATGTTTTGCTGCTTAATACTTTGTGGGGAAAAAGTATTACTGTTTTTACTGTATTTTTGATCAAATAAATGTGGCCTTGGTGAGAATAAATGTTTTCAACACTGATAATAATATATGCTTATTGGGCAACAAATCAGCATATTGAAATTATTTCTGAAGGATCATGTGACATTTAAGACTAATGATGCTGAAAATGCAGCTTTGCATCACAGGAATACATTAGAGTTCAATATTATAAAATAGAAAAACATTTTAATGTAATATATCACAATATTACAGTTTTTTTTTTATCAAATAAATGCAGCCGAGGTGAACATAAGATGACTGTAACAAAAACAAACATCCAAACTTGTTGAGAAATGACTAGTAGCCGAGCCAAGAGCGCTGTCAGGCTGACCATCCACCCACCCACTGTCAGACCACAGAGATCTGCCCGCTCCCACTCCACTCCAGTGCAACAATAAACATGGCCACCTGAGTTTATCTGAGCAGAAAATTTAATTTATTTTCGCTACATGGCTTCTTGACTTTCCTTTTGGTCACAGGGTCACTGCTCTCTTCCCCAGGGCGGTCGCAGGGAAAGATTGAAGCCAGAAAGGTGCTGTCAGGTCTGATGACCCCAAAATGATGCTCTCCTGCTTATCCTGGGACTGTCCAGGATAAGTCAAACGAAGAGAACAGAGTTTAATTCTTAAGCCTACATCAGGCAAAATTATGCAATCTCGCCTCAAAGGTCCAGTAATAATGGCTGTGAGGTTGATAAATTGCCGCTGATGACCTTCAGTCAACTGTTGCAATTGCAGTGAAACTTTCTCTGCATTCCATTTTGCGGAAATGTTATTGAGTGGATTCTAACCGTTTTACTGATAAACATGATTGATAACGCTGCCGTGAAGAGGGGAAAAATGCGCTGAGAAAGGATTGGAGCTCAGACTACAATTTTATTGTTTTTTCAAAGTCATGACATTTCCCCAAAATGTGAGAAAAAGCATCTATTTTCTCCTTGGTTCATTAGCTGGAACAAAACGTACAGGTCTGGTGAACCACCACTGAATGCAGAATGACTGAGCAATGACTAAACACAAATTAACGATTCTCATTACACTGCAAGATTCTCATAGATGAGAGACATGAAGGATGTAGGGACTCCTAATAACTACTTCAATAAATAAATAAATATATTTATATTTAATATTATAAATAGGTTTTATAAATAAGCAAAAATAAATAAATACATAAACTCATTCATTCTTTATTTCTCTTTCTTTCTTTCTCTCTTTCTTTTTTTCTTTCATGGCCTTGAACAGACCTGCAAATTATCATTAAGTCTTTAAAAAGAGCACATTAATTCAAAGGTCTTATTAATAGTAAAAGTATCGAGATAACAGGAGACTGAGAGGAAGGAATAACAAATAATTGTAAATATTGTCTGTAGCCTTACGGTCGATATTAGAGTATCAGAGCTGATACATAAGCATTCTACAACCATCATCTTGAATCATAGCTGACAGAGAGCAACTCATCAATATTAGCAGGCTAGCAGCACAAGAATCCATTAATAATCTGAATATTAGCTCGATATGAAAAAGCCTTCGTAAACACCTCAATTTGGGAAAAAGATCAATTGAGGCAATCTAAATGAAATTTCTATCCAATTAAAAGGTGGCGCAGATCTTGAATAATAATAGAACGATAAATGCCATATATACCTTCAATCAGACTACATTTACAATAGGACTCAAATATACTTTGAACAAAGAGAGATACACTTGTGCACATACTCTCATCCGGAGATGTCTTGTTAGAAGATGCGGCTAATATTTACACAAGACAGAATTGGGACACTTCTTCTAATTGTCTTTTCAAGTAACAAACAGGTAGTCATTAGGGTTGGGTGCCATTCACATTTTAACCGGTACGGTACCAGTATCGGTACCTGAATTTCGGTGCCGGTACCCATTAGGGCCTTTTGCACCGCAGGAACCTTTTCATAGTACCAGAACTAATTATGGAACTACCCACTTTTTGGCGTGTTCGCACCGCCGGAAATGGGAGCGATTTTAGTACCGGACTGCCTTTTTCGAGAACCAAATTAGCTCCTACTCCGGAGCAGGGTCTAACCAGCACAACTGGTACTAATTTTATTTTGACAGGTTGCCATTAAGTTTCTGTGTGTATATAGTATGATGATGCTAGTTTTCTCAAATGAAACGGTAAAATTCTCGCAAAGTGACTCTCACAGCAGCTCTGGAGATTAAGTTGTGTTCATGCCTTCATATAGTGAGACGCAGAGGCCGGAAATCACCGCGAGCATCACGCGTGCTTCAGTATTTGTGTAGTAAACAAAACCGCGTTTCCACCATTCATACATACAGAGGCAAGTGGAACATGCAGGATTCATATTTAAACTGTCTTTTTGCATTTTAATATTTACACACACTAGTTCATATCGCGATTCGAATTAAGTGGCAGTGGCTACTTTTGATTTATTCATCCAAAATGGAAGAATTCCGTGGCATTCCACATAATAAAGAAATAGAGTAAATGACGTTTTAATGAATGGACTCCGCGATTCCATCCGCGTTTTTGCAGAAACCATATGGCCCTAGAAACTTAACCACACTTCAGAACATTTCGGCTTGCCCTGTGTGCTGTTTGAATGAGTTGCAGGGGTGACCTCACGTCACAGGTTCTCTCTTTCTCTCTCTCTGTAGCGTATGCGCCCATATGTGTTCTCAGGTACCGAAATTTGGCACCGATTGAATTAATGTAAATCGGTACTCGGTAGTACCAACGCAATTCAGTCGGTACCCTTAAAAGTACAGAGTTCGGTACCTAGTAGTCATGCACATGTTTGGTCTGCTGACTCAGCTGCTTTCTCAGCATTGCTTTTCTTCATATTTTATTGCTATTTTGGTAGTGTTGACAGTGACACCACATGCTGCTCATTGCTCATGCAAATGTGAATTTTCATCAAACTGCAGAGCTGAAACTGAATACAGTACATTCAAAATCTGCAATTACAATGAAATTATTTTGCATATAAAATTGTGCATATAAACAGTCATGTTATTTCAAATGAATATGGCCACTTCAAAACAGTGACACAGAAGGACTGTCATCACAGGAGAGGATATGTATGAAGACTGATGGAGAGTGAAGGCCAGCACGTCTGGAATGTTTCCGAAGAGCCAAATCACAACCGGCTGATTAAACTTTAAGCTCCACCGGATGACCATAATGGCAACAAGTTCACTGTTACACAATGTCCCATTTAATAGGGGCAAAAGGAACAGAGTCCTATGAATCCAAACAGAACATTACAACAGCCCACCCAAACCATCCGATCTGAGCGGGAGGTATCGTGCTTGCACAAACAAACAGATGAGCTATTTACTCACCAAGTACCACTGCTGTGCAAACTTCGGATCAGTCAGCTCATAGTAAATATCCCTCTTCTTTCTTCGTTTCACCACCTGCTGTTCCGCCCACATTACCTTGAGAAACAAACAAACAGTCAGAGACATATGTGAAGTATTTGTTTCCAAGGTTTCCTTTCCATCAGATCCAGAATAAGTTGCTTTTAATGAAAATCAATGGATCATTAGCAGTAATAATAATGGCACCAAATCTGCACGACACAATTAAACATGGGTAAAAATATGTGAAACTCCATTCAAAAAGCATCTATCTTCTGTAACGTGACATGCTTGTGTGAAACACAATATTCAGTTTCACTAATAATATGAACACTGAACTATAAGGGCAGGACTTAATTTTATTGCTTAATATAATTTTCCCAGGCCATGAAGCCTGGGTAACGTCAGCAGAAAAGAGAGAAAGTTAATACATTTTGACGAAAGAATAACAAGTAATGATGAAATTTGTACAATACATTATAGTAAATATGGTCAATTTTGATTTCATGTGCTGACGAAAGCTGCTGACGGACACACACAGTCCTGTTCTCTTGTCTCCTCACAATCCTCCTCCACTCAACACAGAGACAGAGATGTCTGTTGAAAGATGGGAAGCCGTTTCTCTAGGGCAGCAACTGTTGCAGCGGGGCAGAAAACGCAGACGGTGGCAGATTATGTGATTGACAGCTCAGCACTGCTCATGCCAGAGCTCACTGCTCACGGTCTAGAATGACTTTTAGTGGATGAAATGGACAGACATGTGACAGGAAAGTAAAGCGAGTGGTCAGAAAAAGAATGGCAGGCCAGCTGGGATGTTCACAGCCCTTAAGAACAACCAGGACACATTTGACCCACCACTCAATGTAACCTCAAGGTCACCACGTCATGACGAAATTTACCAGCAAATCATCATAAAATTGACAGAAATGCTCTATATCTGCTTTATTCAGGTAAATTAGTTAATAATCAACCTATTCATTTGTGTACTGACAGCTGTTCAAAGTTTAGGTCATGTTGTCAGAGGTTCTTTGTTTGACTTGATTGACAAAATCAAACATTTCCCGCAACACTTAAGTTTAGCATTATGGTTAATATTGCTTATACTTGGGCTTTTGGGTATTTATTCACATTCCTAACCCCAAGATTAAAACTATAGCCTTTAACCCACATCATTTGTGCTAGGTATTAAAAGATCTTTGAAAAGTTGAAACAAAATACAATTTCAAATAATAAAAAAGGCAATAATAAACAAAACAAAATAAAATATAAAAATAAAATAATAAAAAGCTTCAAATAACATTTAAAGTAGATAATTTTATATTCTTTGTGGTAAGATTTTTTTGAACATGCAAGACCCACTGATGTTATCACGGGGGGGGGGGGGTGCACGAAAAACTGTGCTGATAGGAAGCCGCATTAAGATCTGAGGCTTTCTGCTTGGCAAGTTATTGGGGCTAGACATGTTGTCTAAACTATCACTTTTCCCCCTGCTGATTAATTAGCAAGAGTAATACGGTAATTAAAAAAGTAGCACACATAAGCGCTTCTAACTTTTAAAGATCGACCTCATCTGAAATTAAGCTCATTTAGAGCCAGCACTCGGTTGGCAATGCAATGCATAATGAATAAACTCATGACTGATGTTGCTTCATCTATGACAGCTCTGATGTTTTGACTTGAGCCAAATGCGTTTCAAAGAGAATATGAATGCTGCCAAAGGACTCGGAAATAGGAAATTGATTTCTGAAGCTATGAAGATGGACTGAGTGATACAGAACAGAGAGTTCTGATAAGGAAGTCCGGATGGAAGTGATCTGGAATATCTTAACTGGAAATGCAGATAATAAAGTAAATTGCTTAAATCATATTTGCAGAAAACATTGAACCATTAAGACTAATGCACGCTCTTTCTTTGTATATAATTTATGAGATTTACATGACATGCAGTATAATATGGAACTTGCACATACTGCATGTTATTTATTAGAAAAAAATCGATGTAAAAAAATGCATGAAGACTGCATAGTATAAAAGTAATTACTATTAGCATTCCAACTTTGTAAATAGCCACAATTGTTTGTGATAAAACAGGGCTCAAAAGGTTGCTCTTTCTGAAGCTGAAGGGAGCGAAAGAATTCAACAACAGGAAGCGGAGCAGGGCAGTGAGGGGAAATGCCACAGGAACCCGCTGAGAGGGCAGGCAACAGGACCAACACACTTTAACAAGGGCAACATCTTCACACAGCTGCGGGTTTCATTTCACAAAGAGCGATTTCCTTCACCGTTATAGCCATGTGTATCATCAAAATGACCAGAAGTCAATCATTTTAAAGGTGTCATATGATGCGATTTCAAGTTTTCTTTTCTCTTTGGAGTGTTACAAGCTCTTGGTGCATAAAGACGATCTGTAAAGTTGCAAAGACTAAAGTCTCAAATCCAAAGAAATATTGATTATAAAAGTTAAGAGTCAACCACGCCTACCTAAAAGGGCTCATTCTAACACGCCCCCACATATCTACATCACTATGTGGAAATATTAGCATAATGCTGCCTAAATGTGCACACAAAGAAAGGCGGCGAGGTTTCAGGAACAGCAGTCGTGCTGATGCAGCCATGTCAGAGAGACTCTATGTATTTCAGTCCAAAAGCACTTTATTTGGCCTTCCGGAAGTAGAAGCAATTAGGAATCATTGGTTAAGATTTATTTACAACAGAACAGCACAACCCAGATGTTCGAATTTGTGCAACGCATTTTATGGATGACAGTTTTTTGAACCTAGAAGAGTACAAGGTTGGCTGTGCACAAAGGCTATTTCTTCAACGCGTGCTGTCGGTGTTCGGCCAATCACAATGCACTGGGTCAGCTGGCCAATCAGAGCAGACTGCGCTTGTCAAAGGAAGGGGCTTTGTTGAAAACGACGTGTTTGAGAGAGGCGGGGCATAGAGGACCTACAATAATGTACAGTATTTGAAAAATAATGTGTTTTTTGAACATTAAAGCATGTCAACATATTCTGTTACACCAAATACACAAAATAATCATCTTTAAAATAGCATCATATGACCCCTTTAAATGAGTCAACCTTCTGCTGCCATCTGAGCGACAGTGACCATTGACGATCCTACAAAGTCAACCTTTTCATCTAAACGAGCAGCCACAGAATGTGACGACAACTGCAAAGGAATCCCACAAGGGCTGAGAATAGTTTGAAAAATGAAAATTTTCACTGAAATAATATGATTATGTTCTAATTAAAAATGACTTTTCAGTTACATGATTTTAAAATGAGCAGTCCAAAAAAAAAAACAATGGTAAAAACAAATAAAAGTACCTGTTAAAGTACCTTTATTTTAAAACTGAAATTCCTCAAATTAAATAAATCAAAAGATTTAAACTAGAGATTTAATCCAGTTCCGGTGTTAATTTTCACATAATTTTTTAGTTCTAGTTTGTCTAGTATTGCGGAAGCATCCTTTATATTTAGTCAATATTTTGTCATATCGTATTTATTCACTTTAATCAACTCTAATTTGACCAAAATAGCACTGAATATTACAGATATATTACACTGAATATTATTTTAGTTCATGAGAATGAAAAAAATAAACTAAATATTTACACATTTTATATATTAATTCAAACATGCATCAACAAAATCATGAAAACTGCTCGTGAAATACTAATGTTACAAACAAAACACTACCGTAATAATGATTTATTTAATGCTTTAGTTATTGTCACATTTCAGTGTGTTGTTTAAAAAAATATCATATTCAATGTGACTTACCAGCAGTACAGTTAAATTCATGATGGATTTGTATCATGTTGGGCAGAAACAAATTGTAATATTATGTTTATGTTGTGCATTTATTTACCTTCTTAAGGATACAGAACGAGTTTGGGTAAATTCATTAAACTGCTATTAAAGCACTTTAGTTTACCGGTGTTCAGCAAGAGGTGCAGTTACAATATTGACTATTACTGGATTATTTGAACTGGTTGCTAGTGGTCACTACACATCTTAAATTTGAATGCCCAGTTTTTGTACTCTTATTTGCATTTTTATCTTAAATATGTGGCTGGAGATGTAATTTGGCAATTCTACAGCTCACTATTCACTAATCATAACAGTTCCACAATCACTGGAGAATCAGAGGGTGTTGGTTCACTTGGCGAGTGGGTGTTAACAAACACAACGACAAAATCATCTCTACTTTTAGAAAAACAACTGACAAATGAAAAATACAAAAAAGCGAAGCAAGGTCGCAGTAGCATGAGTATAACAGAGGCTAGAAGCAAGACATTTTTCTTGAAGAAAGAAAGAAGAAAGTACAAGCTAGAAGACATTTGTCAATATATAAATATGTACAGGCTAGAACAGATAAGTAAGAAATAGTGACAAAAAATATACAACATGTGATTTTGAAATAATCTCTGACAGATGGGGAAGGTGTAAAACAATAAAAAATAGCAACTATGAATTCCAATCTATACTTAGAAACAGGTTTTTAAAAAAGCCTCGAGCATATCTTATGCAATTCCCAAAAGACTGATGACTTTGACAACGCATTCAATGCATGAAATTTAAGAGGAAAACCAGCACCATTGTACCTCAAGGACTAATCATTTAGCGCTCACGAACAAAGGCAACTTCCTAGAAATGAATCCGAGATGGACAAATGAATCAAACCGGGCTGTGTGCATTGACTCTCCGTCATTGTGTTGGCACCCAGGTAGGTTCATTATTCACACACCTCATCACTACTGAACACCAGACAATGGAGTGCTTTTCCCATCTCGAGGGAAGTCACTCTGCTCCTGGAGGCCATTCGCACTGATGAAGCATGGCGCTGCAGCCATGTTACAAGATGGACTTTTTAACCCCCTCTAGAAAGTGAGTAATGGGCCATACGGGTCCAGTCCGTGATTTCCATTAAGGGGGTTTCTAGCCCTTAGCAGTCCTCTGGCATTAAAATTGCAGGGTTTGTGTTTCACTCCATCAGAACTCAACATCTGGACCAGAAAAGCAGTTAAGTGGCAAATACTGAGGCTGTAGTGAATGTCTGCAGATGTCAGGTTGACACACAGTGAGCAACTCAACTTTAAATGCTCGTATTTCAAACCTGTGACAAGAGAAACCAAAAGAGTTTTATTTGGTGTTCTTAAGAGGAACGTGCATAGGGGAGGAAACTGAGGAGTTTTGATTTATAGGTTTCACGAGAACAGCATGTGAGGGTGCGAACGGAAAGATTCACAATAACGTTCAGAGGAGACAAGTCAAACATTGGAACATAAACCAGCAAGGTTTCTAGAAACAGTTGGGAAAAGAGAAAAAAAATGTTTTGGACAAACCGAAAACGTCTGCCCTCAATTCTTTAGAAGACAAGAAAAAAACTAGAAAGAAGAGAGTGCTGAAGAATGAAGGGTGAAATAAAGATGAATGACTTGAAAAATCGAGTGTGCTGGTCCTGGTGCTTCTCTAAGTTTGCAAAAGTGATTGGGTCTTTAGTTGGAGTCAAAGTCCCTTTAAGACAAGTCATGTCACTCGGCAATAAAATAACATTTATTTTCTAGCCACGAACACTGAACATCAAATTTAAACAGACAAAGTTTTAAAAATATATATAAAATGGGTAGTAGGATTGCAAATGTGGGCATAAGCTGCCACTGACAGGGCGATAGCTAGGAACCAAATGTTGGTCCTAAAAAGGTAACCATGCAATCTTAAAATTTCTCAAATAAATTTAGAAAATTGAATTAGATTATATAGATCTCATGCTCCAAATTCTGTAACTTTCTAGGTTTCATAGTAATTTTTTGTGTCTAAAGTGCCATTAAAAGCACCTTTTAGCAGCTATTTTTAGTGTAACATTCACTAATTTCTGTACTTTCTCTGAGACCTATTCAGATATCTATGGCTTCAGTATTTTGGCTTTTTGCTTCATTTAGTCAAGGATTTGTCAACATAACCTTTGAGTTTGTTGGGGGAAAAATGTCTGGAAAGGGCTGTTCTGAGGCGGATCCAGATTCTACATTTCACACATACCTGAGGTTCTGTGTGCAGACGAATGTGTGCTCCTCTGTGATCTGATAAAGACCTCTTCACCACTCTGCGGTGCCTGAAGTGATAAAAATCTCCAAAAACCTGAGGGGGAAAAAAAAAACACAAGGCTACATTTAGCTCACCACATCCTACAGATTTCTTTAAGAAAGAGGGGGGGGGGGGGGGGGGGGGGGTTTCAACTTGTGCGTGTGCGTGTGTTCGCATACATCACACACATATGCACATACTCGGGCAGATTTTTTTTCTTTCAATATTTTTCCAATTCATCAATTCTAACAGCCATTTGTAGATTCAAAGGGTTTAAAAATGTAGTAGCATCTTAAAAATCTAGTTAAATAAAAGCATGTTTCTCACTAAACAACCACCAGAAAACACACCATTACCACCAGTAGTTTACAGTAACATTTACCCACGTATATTTAAAATGTATGCATTTAAAATAAATAAATAAATAAAATGCCACACTTCCGTAAATGTTGATTACTTAAAACAAACAGTTTGACATCTTAAAAATCTAGTTAAATAAAAGCATGTTTCTCACTAAACAACCACCAGAAAACACACCATTACCACCAGTAGTTTACAGTAACATTTACCCACGTATATTTAAAATGTATGCATTTAAAATAAATAAATAAATAAATAAATAAAATGCCACACTTCCGTAAATGTTGATTACTTAAAACAAACAGTTTGAACTGATTTATGGAAATGAACTGATTGTCAAAACTACCTCCATTTTTACTACTTAAAGTGATCGTTTACCCAAAAATGAAAATTGTCATCATTTACTCACACTCATGTCATTCCAAACCTGTATGACATTCTTTTTGATCTAAAACACAAAACAAGATATTTTAAAGAACATTGTGAATCAAAAGAAATTGGAGCCTATTGACTTCCATATCAAAATCTCTTTAGATATAAAGATATAAAGTTTTGAACAATATGAGGTGAGCAAATTATGAAAATGTTCATTTTTGGGTGAACTATCACAACTTCTAATAGTATAGTATATACACAGTGGGTACGGAAAGTATTCAGACCCCCTTAAATTTTTCACTCTGTTATATTGCAGCCATTTGCTAAAATCATTTAAGTAAATTTTTTTTCCTCAATGTACACACAGCACCCCATATTGACAGAAAAACACAGAATTGTTGACATTTTTGCAGATTTATTAAAAAAGAAAAACTGAAATATCACATGGTCCTAAGTATTCAGACCCTTTGCTGTGACACTTATATATTTAACTCAGGTGCTGTCCGTTTCTTCTGATCATCCTTGAGATGGTTCTACACCTTCATTTGAGTTCAGCTGTGTTTGATTATACTGATTGGACTTGATTAGGAAAGCCACACACACCTGTCTATATAAGACCTTACAGCTCTCAGTGCATGTCAGAGCAAATGAGAATCATGAGGTGAAAGGAACTGCCTGAAGAGCTCAGAAACAGAATTGTGGCAAGGCACAGATCTGGCCAAGGTTACAAAAAAATTTCTGTTGCACTTAAGGTTCCTAAGAGCACAGTGGCCTCCATAATCCTTAAATGGAAGACGTTTGGGATGACCAGAACCCTTCCTAGAGCTGGCCGTCCGGCCAAACTGAGCTATCATCTTCTTTACCTCTCTCACCAAGGGGAGAAGAGCCTTGGTGAGAGAGGTAAAGAAGAACCCAAAGATCACTGTGGCTGAGCTCCAGAGATGCAGTCGGGAGATGGGAGAAAGTTGTAGAAAGTCAACTATCACTGCAGCCCTCCACCAGTCGGGGCTTTATGGCAGAGTGGCCCGACGGAAGCCTCTCCTCTGTGCAAGACACATGAAAGCCCGCATGGAGTTTGCTAAAAAACACCTGAAGGACTCCAAGATGGTGAGAAATAAGATTCTCTGGTCTGATGAGACCAAGATAGAACGTTTTGGCCTTAATTCTAAGCGGTATGTGTGGAGAAAACCAGGCACAGCTCATCACCTGTCCAATACAGTCCCAACAGTGGCACCGGTCACAACGAAAACCTTCTGCAGAGTGCTCAGGACCTCAGACTGGGCCAAAGGTTTACCTTCCAACAAGACAATGACCCTAAGCACACAGCTAAAATAACGAAGGAATGGCTTCACAACAACTCTGTGACTGTTCTTGAATGGCCCAGCCAGAGCCCTGACTTAAACCCAATTGAGCATCTCTGGAGAGACCTAAAAATGGCTGTCCACCAACATTTACCATCCAACCTGACAGATATATACAAGTATCACCACGTTTAATTTAAAGACTCAAATAAAACCTACGTCTTAATGTTCGCTTGTTCACAAGTCTAATTCTGTAACACAAAATTTAAATGAAAGCAAATGAGACTCCACTGGAGAGCACTGGTACGAAGCCCAGCTGTGGACCCAGGCATGACCTTAATGATCCAGATGGAAGATCTATTGACAAAAAGAGAAATACAGACAGCTGTGCATGTCCAACAGCCTCAAGTACAAGTAACCCTGAACGAGTCAATCTCCTGTCAGCCGACTGCACAATCACACATGACAAGATCATCCAGAGGGCCAGAAGCATCAAACCTGGCACTGCTGCAGATCGATTTCTCTCTCAGTTTGATGAAAGCTAAAACGTCTGGAGTGAGCTGGAGTTCATGCGGTCATGCTATAGATTCAGACTATAGAAAGGCAAAGATCTAGCAGACATCAAAACCGCTGTAGAGCAAGACACATGCTCATTTGCAAGACCAGAAACATTGATTTTACCAACAGGTTTAAAGAAACCTTCATCAGTAAAATAAATACAGACCAACCCAAAGGTGAACTACATTTTAAAATGATAAATTCAAAGGTACAAAACCCTTTTCACAAAGCTCACTGCAACAAAGCCATTCTTTATTCAAAGGGCGGTAACATGTAATAGGAACCCCTGTCAGGAAAGATCGAGAACAACGGCTCTACATTTATTCTTCCATGACGTCCTCGGCATACAGGCTGGATTACAGCATGTTGATGCAAACATCTCCACCCAAACAAAGCCAGCGAGGCAATAAGCCCTTGACAAAGCGAATTTGACAACTTGCGACCCAGTAAATATCACAATAATCATAGAAAGCATCAAACACAGAAGGTTAAAAATAAAAACCTTAAAAAAACCAAAGAGATGACAGACTGAAAGAAGAGATTAAACATTTATTGAACAGCTAGCGAGAGGCCGGCACGTTTGGCGGTTAAGGAGAGAACAATAATGACAGAAAATAACACAAGAATCGATCGCGAGGAGAGATAGCAAAAGAGGGATGGGTAATAAGCACATTCAGAGCTCTGAGAGCTTTGTTAGTCACAAAGGGAAATAGACTGAGGATGGGTATGGGTGTATTGTGTAAGATAAGAGAGGCCTAAAAAGATGAGCATCAATTTCAGACAGGCCTGAATCCAGCAGCTCCAGGGCACAGGGGAGCGCAGATGGAGATATGCTGGCCTTGTCGTATCAGACCACCATCAGACAACCATCTCAACTGCCTTGAAACATGCGAGAGGAAAGGCATGCGGAGGAGAAAAAAAAAAAAACTTATATCTACACTAAAACTTACAATCCACATCTGAAAATGATATCGGTGTTGGTTAAACAGTTGGCATGCCTTTGCAAGATCTGTTCCTTATGTCTGGAAGCAACCCACACGTGCCGGCTCTACTCTTCAGACCAGACTACACCAGAATAAATATTTGTAATTATTAACTTTAATTACCAAAAACACAATAGTTTGTCGTGCCCCACAATTTGCATGCAACCCTTTTAAAGGCATGATTTACTTTCTTAAAAGATATAACAAATTGGTGCCCCGTTACTTTTAAAGCATTAGAGCCACATGGTTTTGTAGTGAGCACGAACACAAATTATTGAAAAATTATTCCAACATGAAAATCAGCTAGTTCTGAACACATCAAGCATCTGTTACCAAAGTTATTGTAAGAAAAAATGCTAAAGGAGAAATGAAATGGAAAAAACAAAACAATGAATGTTCCGTTTTCATCAATAACTAAAATCCAAAAATGACTCACAGAAAGCTTAATTTAAGAGAAATCTAGTTACTTTAACTTACAACCTTTAATCTAGGATTTAATTTAAATTTTTTTATAAAATAAACAAAATACAATCAGATTTACTTTATTATAGACTTCAAGGATTTAATTCATGATTAATTGTCATTGTTTTTTGTTTTTTTTTATAAAATATGATGAAAATTAAACCGCAAGATAAAATAAAAAATGGGATAAAAAATAAGAAAAACTAGAACACAATTAAATAAGATTTAAATAATTGTTAAATTAAATAAAAGCTCAAATAAGATTAAAATAAAATTACAATTAAAATAAAATAAAATAAATGTTTTATTCAGACATGTCCCTTTTTTCAGGACTGCTTATGAGAAACAGGAATGAGAACTTGCAACTGTGACCTATAATCAAAGAATGTTGGAAATCTTGTATTTAAGATATTTACCTGAGCATTAGCCAAGACGCTGAGGTAAGGCTAGCATCCAATAACCACATAATAATGGCATTACTTGACATAAGAATCTGACCTCAGTGTCTGACCCATCACTTAGGGGTCGGTCTAGATGACACAGCTCTAATTTGTGTGGGAAACTGCTGGTCAGTGCTATTATCTAAAATTAGCCTCCACCACGCATCGCCTTCCAAATACCATTAACATTCCTTGCTATCTTCTCTTTAATGGAAGCAAACACACGCTCAGCAGTTGGAACTTTAACTAGTAGGTAGAATAATAAAATGGAAACAGTAAGTTAGATAAGATGGTAGATAAGCCAGAGCTAATGGAGGAAACAGATGTTTACTGTGGGAAATGTGCTAGCTCTGGGCAGGCTAAAATTGTGATCATTTCAAGAGCAATTACAAATCAAGGGAACAATCCATCTGACTCATTGAGCAAATGGAGCAATTAGTCTCTGCAGTGTTTCCCCTGCCATTATATTAGGGGGGGTGACCCGCCCCAACGGCACCCCCCCGTCCCCCTTGAAGGTCAAGTTCATTTTATTTAATTATATTTTCTCTATAGCACCAGATCACAACAGAAGTCAT